TTATTATTTTGCTTTAGCAATCCTCTTGCTGCTTTTAGCTTCTAACCACTGTCTTAGTACTTTTAGCTACAATTGTTTTCCTTTTGTTTTCTAGCTTGCCTTTTGTTACTTTTAGCCAGATATTTGCAACTTTATTTTAGCCTACTTTTTCTTCTTTCAGCATCTAATTGGATCATTGAGACGTTTATCTGGTGTCTTATCCAAACTTTTACAAATTTAGCTTTTAGCTAGGTTTTTGCTACTTTTAGTTAGAAGCAATTCTTTTTTGCTTTAGCAATCCTCTTACTGTTTTTAGCTACTGCTTTGCCACAATTGTGTTACTATTGTTTCTAGCTTGCCTTACTTTTAGCCAGATGTTTGCGACTTTTAGCTTTTAGCCATCTTTTTCTTCTTTCAGCATTTAACTGGGTCATTAATACATTTATCTGGTGTCTTACTACTTTTATCCAAACTTTTACTACTTTAGCTTTTAGCTAAGTTTTTGCTACTTTTAGCTACAATTGTGTTACTTTTGTTTGCTAGCTGGTCTTTTGCTACTTTTAGCCAGATTTTTGTGACTTTTGCTACTTTTAGCCAGCCTTTTTCTTCTTTCAGCATTTAATTGGGTCTTTTGATACATTTATTACTACTTTTATCCAACCTTTTTATACTTCATCTTTTAGCTAGTTTTTTCTGTCTTATTACTTTTAGCTTTTTTAGCTTGTTTAGTTTTCACTTCAACTATTGTTCTGCATCTTTTAACTTTAACAAGTTCGTTTCAGCATTTTCAGCAAACATAAGTAAAGTCATTCATCACTCTGCTCTCACACTGTGTCGGTTTGTGTTGGTGAAAACATTTTAACATGATCCAGTTTTTCAATTAGGTCTAGTGAGGGTGCAGATAAAAACAATAACCAAAACTAATACATGAGTGTGAAAATCATTATCGGTACACCTTTAAATCTGTATTCTTTAACAGCAGCATTAGCCTCCATGCGGGAGAATTATTCCATCAAATCCCACCTGTGGGTGCTCCTCACCTGCTGTGAGTGTCTATTAATGACCTGTAACAACAAGCTCATCCTCTATACTCACTGAAAAATCATAAACAAAGTAATCCCTCACAGTGGATGTCTTGATTTTAATTCCCTCTTGAAAATATTAGTCGAATATTCTGGGGCGGAATCATTCGCCACGCTAAAAATTACGTCTCTCAAAGCTGCCACACAAATTATTTAAAAAATACAAAAAGAGAATGTCGTCAGACCTCCGAGTTAATTTTTATTTGGTGTTTTTGCARGGGCCGGCTAATTGGCGCTAGTACATACAAATGTAACAATGTGTAGCTGTCTGCACTCTGGTCACGGCTCGGGCATGAAGAGAACCATTATCTGGCCCATGCTAAGCCCCCTGAGCCAATTTGATGTGATGAATGTGCAATTTCCTTTGTCTCCACACAGCCAGTTAATTACAATCTCTATCAATAAAGTATGTCCCACTTCAGTGGCCGACATTATAGACCAAGAAGTCACATCTTCCGACGACCTGTTGATCCACCGTACTGCAAGACTTTGGAAAAATCTGGAGGAAAAAAATTAATGGAGACGAGACTGTTTTAAGAACAAGCTAAGATAACCAGAGAAGATAAACTTTGAGAGAGACTAAATTAAGCACTTTAGTATTTACAGACACTTCCCTTAGCCTGGATTCACTGGTGGTGATTAGGGAATGAATTCTAATAAGTCTGCTCCGAGACTCTGAGAAAAAAAAAGAGGACACAGAGAGTGGCAGACAGACTGAGAGCCAGAAAGATATTGATTTTTAGCAAAATTAGAACAATCTTTCATAATCAGGTGCAATGTTCCATTGCATGTTTGATTTTTCTACTTATTCTCTTTGCCAGTTGTGTGTTTCCCCCCTGCTCAAACACCAAACCACACAAACATACAAACACACAAACCCACACGGCAGTGACGTCATCAAATAATTTAATGCTGCAAAAAATCTGTGGAGCCGAGTAAGGATGGCTGAGACTACAGTGGAGAATTTGATATACAGATATTCAACTAAAACTGAATGTGGTAGTAGCTGAGAGTGATCGCCAACACATACTCTGAGTGCAACCTACTAAACGAACACCTACAGTTTAGAAATTATTCCAAATCAATATGGTTGCCACAGCTGTTCAACATTAGCAAAACAGAAATAATTCATTAGTCAGTTCAACAAACATTAATGTAAGGACAGTGTACTGTACATTACACTAACACCTGAACTGATGTCATGTATCATGTAAATATGTTCATTTAAAGAGCCAATATTATGTGTTTCCCAGGCATATATTTAAATACTATACCATAATAA